GTTTTTAAACTGCTGATTCTTCCTCTTTGTTTCTAACTTTCAAATTCCAGTCACCAGTAATTATCAATGCATCTTAATTGCATGTTTGATTAATTTCAGATTGAAGATGTTGGTAGAATTTTTCTGTTTTATTGTCATTGACTGCAGTGATTGGTGCGTAAATTTCCTTGTAGGTGTGTGGGTATATCTTATAGACAGCATTTTACTTCAAGATGGATCTTGAAATACTCTTTTGACAGTGAATGTGAGGTCATTCCTCTTGAATTTGCCATTCCTGGCATAGTAAGCTATATGATTATTTGATTCAAAATAGCCAATTCCAATCCACTTCAGCTCACAAATGCCTAGGATATTGATATTGATCTTTATGTGTTCCATTTAAATTTTGATGACTTCCAGTTTTCCTAGATTCATACTTCGTATATGCCATATTAATGGATGTTTGCAGCTCTTTCTTCTCGTTTTGATTTATGCCCATCAGCACATGAAGGTCTCGAAAGCTTTGCTCCATCCTCGGCTTTAACATCAGTTATCGCTTTGCAAGATAAGCACTGGCCTTCTAACTGCAAGGTTAATAGTTCAAACTCACCAGTCACTCCTTGGAAACTCTATACAGGGTCATTACAAGTCGGAACCGACTCGACAGCACTTAACAACAACATACTTTGATGGGACAGCTCTTCCCTAGTCATATCTTAAGTGCTTTCCAACCTGAGGGGCTCATCTTTTGGCACTATATCAGATAGCGTTCCACTGCTATTCATAAGGTTTTCAGGGGTTAAAAATTCAGAAATGGTCCACCTCTCCTTAGTCTATCTTAGTCAATAAACTCAGCTGGAACCTGTACACCACGGATGACCTTGCTGGTATTTAAAATATTGGTGGCCTAGTTTCCACAATCACAGTAACACACAAACGACAAAAATACAACGTACTGACAGAGAAGTGGTGGAAAGAGCTAAAAAATACTTGTAAAAAATACAGGTTCTTAACCACTATCCTATACCTATATACTAATGCAGAAAGTTCTAGATGTAGAGACTATACATTTACACTTTAAGCGTCCCTCCTAAGGATTCTTATATCTACTCTGCTATATGCGGTGTTGTAAAGGACTCAGGGCATGTCAGTGTGACTGACTGAGAGGATGGTAAAGCTGTGTTAAGGAGGGGACTAGGGAACTATAGAAGGAGGGCAGATTTGGAGGTGTCAAGAATGCATTCAGGTTTGACGTGCCAGTAGAACACGAACACCTATGTGTCAGTGGAATTTTTTGGGAAAGAGGTATTTAGGGAAAGAGCCAGGACAACAAATAGTGTTTTGTGTTTCATAGATTTATGAGTATGTTTTCTTCTTGAGAAAATATTGTGTTATATACTTGCTGTTTTAAGCTGACTCTGTGATTAGAAAAAAGTATTTGAGTGCAGTGAAGCAGTTATACACAGAGAGAAAGTAGAGCATTTATTCATTCTTAAGCTTTCATGGAATCCTTAGTTGTAGGCTAAGCACTGGACTGGTAACCTCAAGATTGGCAGTTCAGTCCTACCAGTTATTCCCCAGAAACCCTGTACGGGGTCACTGTGGATCCGAACCTACTTGATGGCATTTAACAACAAGCTTTCGTGGAGACCGGCACGCTCTTGACGTGAGCTCTAAGACTGCTGAACTAGGGGATGCTAGTGTTGTCTGGTGAGTCCAGCTGGGACTGTCTGGGAGGAGACAGGAGTTGTAGGTAAACACTGTGTCAGGGGCCATACTTGAGAAGCGAAGCTCCACCGTCTACACTGAGCTTAAACTGGTGTTCTATGCGAGCTGTATGCCTCTCTTACTTCTCAGTAGGCATCAGGGGTTGTCACTTTTTCCTTTGGAGAAGTGGTTTGATTTTCTTACTCTGCACGGTTCCTGGTTTCTTATAAAGACCCTGGCAAGGCCAGTCATGGAACACACTGAGAAGACAGCATGTCCCATGTTAAAATGCTGCAAGTTTTTCAGACCTACAGATCCTTTACAAATAAGATTGTGTACCTTTGATTTTCAAAAATTTAAGTCATTAAAAAGGAAAAAATGAAGTCATTGGTTTCTTTGGGATGGGGAGGAGGAGGTGACAGTTTCAATGATAAGCTTCATTATTATCAGTAAGTATAAGAATGAATGACTTAGTGCACGTATCATTTAGCTGGTGTGTTTGGACCAAAAAAAAGAAAAAATCTAGTTGGGATACAGATGGCTAGTCAAGAACTTAGTAGTTAATAACCCTGCTAGTTAGAGCTCTGCCTTTGTTCCAGAGCCTCTGTGCTGAAATCCTCATAGCCGTCTCGCACACTCGCCTCACTGCTGCTCCTGGCTGCGCCCACGCTGACTGCTCTGCAGCAGTGAATTAACACTCCTGACTCTGACCACAGCCCGGCAGCCTTGTCATTTCCACAGAACGCTCTGAAAACATCGCTTCTTTGACTTCACCACAACTACACGTTTAAAACCTCTCTACTCCCACGTCTACATCAGCTTTAGTTTAATTGCTGCAGATCAAATTTCAGCCACACTTTTGTCAGTATCTCCACCTTCTTCATCATTCTTCAGTAACTGATAACATCTCAAGCCTGTTTTGTTCATGCCTATGCCAGGGACAAAGAGAAAAATCAGTCAGCAGTGTCACTATAAACATTAATGCTACCAGCTGTCATCTCATTGCCAGTTCATCTTCCTTGCTCGTAGTCTTTCATTCTCCAAACTTCACAGCACTTACAAACTGGCTATTTCTGACATTTTTCATGTTCCTAAAACTCAACCTTTCATCACCCTGCTGTAGTTTTTGGCTAAGTGCAGTCAGTTCCAACTCATTGTGACCACTCTGTATATGGTTTCCAAGGCTGTAAATCTTTGCGGGAGCAGAAAGTCTCTTTCTTCCACAGAGTGGCTTTTGGTTTAAACCACTGAGTTTGTAGTTAGCAGTCCTGTGCTTATCCTAAAGAGCCTTCATTATCCTTGTTGTTGTTCCCAACTCAGCTGCCCTGTCTAGAGTTTCCAAGGAGCTTCTGGTGAGTTTGAACCAGCGACCTTGCAGCTCAAACTGACCTTGTGTTCCAGTGCTTACCCTACAGCAAGCACCACATCAGGACTTCCTGCAACCCAAGAGACAGTAGCTCCCTTCACCTCAAACCTGTTAGCATACCTATCCTTTGCTCCTTCTTTCCTGTTAAAATGAGAAAGATGTCCTGGCTATCAAAAGCAGTGCATTCTACTGAAGTCAAAAGATCAACTATCCCATTGTCTTAGGAATCAAAGAAGGTAGAGATTGAACTCTGACAGGTTTATTAGAGGAGCGTTGTTTTTGTAATCAGTGGATAATACAAAATAAAGAATAATCAGAGATAGTCCTGAACCTGTGATATTAGGGAGAACTGTTGTATGTCTAACCTGTCAAAGGGGACTTTAGGGACATGGTGATAAAATTCATTTCAACTGCTGCTGGAATTCTTCAGAAGACACTGCGACAGCCGAGTCCCTGCAGGTTGTGTCTATCTGTTAGTCACCTTGTGTGGAAATTGGGGCAGATACAGACTGAAGTGGCGCTTTCCTTAACAGCATTTTCTTACTCCTTTTTAAATTTTAATGCCAATGTTTTTAGCAAGAACTTGTGAGAGAATTTCTCCCTTCCATATCTGTGGATTGAAGGAACTCTGGTAGCGTAGTGGTTACGAATCGGGCTGCGAACCACAAGGTCAGCAGTTCGAAGCTGCCAGCTGTTCCGTGGGAGAAAGATGAGGCTTTCCGCTCCCGTAAAGATTTACAACCTCGGAAACCTTGTACAGGGTCGCTATGGGTCGGAATGGACTCGACGGCAGTTAACAACAACATTTCTGTGGTTTAAGAAGAGTTTAGGACACCAGTCATTAACCCAAACCAATAAAATATCTTGGTACCACTGAAAGCTTGGCACTATTCATATTTTGGAGAAAGGCATATACCTGCTTCTCACTTATCAACATAGTTCAGTTCCAAAGGCCAGAGCATTGTGCAAAAGCCACATTATGTGAGGAGGAGGTGGGCGTGGCTCCTGCCACCAGGGCTGGGGCTCTTGTAGATCTGGGGCCCAGCTGGACCAGGAGCACAGTGAGCACCCCAAGGAAGCAAGGGGCACGTTCCCTCCTCGGTTTGGAGGGCTTGGAATCCCAGAGCCTGGAGACTAACAACTTCTGGGAAGGGAGCTCAGTAGCTGGCCTGTGCTGGAGAAGCAGGTGACCGGCTTCTGCTACAGCCTCAGGTTCCAAATTACTCCCAGTATCTTCCTGCTTCAGGAGTTGGTCCCTCTAGGGTGCTTTAGTAGAGGGGGCAGCAGCAGCAACCTAGACACCCGCCCCCAGCCGTTCATGGGCCCTTCTCAGAAGGGCTTCCTCAAAATTTGCCTCAGTCACCTCTTAGAGCTAGAAACTCTTGCTTCGCCAGTAGATGTTGGACTAACAAGAGGCCTTCTGGAGAGTTGGCTGCCTCAACTGCAGACATGGGTAGTTCTGAGAGAGGAACCCCAAATTAATGCACAAAATGAGTTGATAGTATATTCTTTACTATTGCAGCAAAGGAGAACTGCCATATAATGAGATATCGGTAAGTGAGGAGTAGGTGTGCTTTTGTTTGTTAATCTATTTGAATCAAACCTTTAGAATAAGATGAGCAAGGCAGCCAAACAGGAGTGCTTATGTGGAGTATAAGACTGGCCTATTTTCCCTTCAGAATGTAAGGATGGAGTAAGAAATACATAAATAGGAAATGAGACAAATAACCAAGCTGGCTTTATTACATTATCTTTTAGTAAATGACATAGTGCAGTTTTTAAAGTTTATATAGGAAAGCTGGCATATGCTGATAAATGTTGATTCATTTTTCCTAATGGTTAAAATTCTGAAGCTTTAACTGAAACCAAATATACTACTTATAAATGATGTGTTTTTGGTTTTTTTTTATTGTAGGAATACTGATTGCTGTTCTTCAATATGTTCATAATGAAGTTATTAATAATACTTATATTTTCTGGACTCACAACTGGTTTTACAGAAAACTCTTCTTCTAGTTACCCATCCAAGTTACTATTGGTTTCCTTTGATGGCTTCAGAGCTGACTATCTACAGAACTATGACTTTCCTCATCTCCAGAATTTTATTAAAGAAGGAGTCTTGGTAGAACATGTCAAAAATGTTTTCATCACAAAAACATTTCCAAACCACTACAGTATTGTGACAGGCTTGTATGAAGAAAGCCATGGCATTGTGGCTAACTCTATGTATGACGTAGTCACAGAGAAACATTTTTCTGACTTTAATGACAAGGATCCTTTTTGGTGGAATGAGGCAGTACCTATTTGGGTGACCAATCAACTTCAAGGAAATAGATCAAGTGCTGCTGCTATGTGGCCTGGTACCGACGTAGCCATTCACAATGTCACACTTTCCTATTTCATGAATTATAATGCTTCCGTGTCATTCAAAGAGAGACTGAATACTATTACTGCGTGGCTGAGCAATTCAGACCCACCAGTCACCTTTGCAACCCTCTATTGGGAAGAACCAGATGCAAGTGGCCACAAATATGGACCTGAAGATAAAAAAAGCATGAGTACAGTATTGAAAGAAATAGATGATCATATTGGTGACCTAGTCCATAAACTCAAAATGTCAGGATTGTGGGAAAATCTTAATGTGATCATTACAAGTGATCATGGGATGACCCAGTGTTCAGTGGAAAGACTCATAAATCTGGACGACTGCATCAATCGTACCACATACACTCTTATAGATCTTACCCCAGTTGCAGCAATACTTCCCAAAATAAGTAAGTGAACTTTTAGCCTAAGGATGTTGCTATTTGAATGGGAGTACTTGATTGGTGGTGGTGGTGGTGGTGGTGGTGGTGGTGGTGGTGGTTATGTGCTGTGGAGTTGATTCTGACTCATAGTGACCTTACATAGGGGTTCCGAGGCTGTAAATCTTTACCGAACCAGAGAGCCTCATCTTTCTCCCATGAAACAGCTGGTAGTTTTGAACTTCTGACCTTGAGATTAGCAGCCCAACTCATAAGCACTATGCTACTAGAGCTCCTAAAGATTGAGGATGGGCAAATGTGTAGAAGAATGAAGCTCTGGCTTTTTGTAGTTCAGGACCACATAAAGTTACATTAACTTGAGTGGACTATGTGTTTTGTCCCATAGTTTACAAATTGCAGGCAGTTGGATACAGCTTTAGCTTCCAAGTAGTTATATATGTTTATTCTTAAAGATATATTGGATTTTTATTTGAGATATACTTTCATTTACTGATTTTTAAATAAGTTTATGTTTGCTTGGAAAGCTAGACATGAAAATAGTCGCCTTTCTATAAAAATCCACCAAGGATAATCCACAGAATGAAAAAGAGACATAGGTGTGCATACACATGTGTATCTATGGTATATGAGGGTAAGTCACAAATTTTCTGCACTCTTGCTGTAGAATTTATTTTAATCAACTTTTAGAAAAGACAAATATATCATTTTTAATATAATCTCCTTAAACCTTGTACAGTTTGTCAATCTCTCAACAAGCTTTTGTGTTCCCTTATTTAAAAATGTTCTAGGCTGAGCCGTGAGCCTCTTCACTTCTTCATCAGAGGTGGACCTTCATCCTCTAAGGACTGCTTTCAGGGGACCAAACTGGTGAAAGTCTGATGGAGCAAGATCAGAACTATGTGAAGGATGCTTTAACACCTCAAAATGAAGTTTTTGCTGAGTGTCCACAGTGTAGGCAGAGGTGTGTGGCCGTGCATTGTCATGCAAGATCACAAAGTCCTTGGTTAGCAGTCCTCTGCGATTAATCCAAAGTTTAGGCTTCAAGCTCTTCAGTGAGCATCTCACTGTAATGAACAATGTTGATTATTGAATGTTTTTCCTGACAATGTTCCAATTCTCAATTATTGAAAATCCCAGAAAACTGTGAGCATCAATTTTCCAGCTGATGGTTGACTTTTGAACTTTTTCTTGGTCAGCGATTGAGTTATGTTTCTATTCCATACTCTGCCGTTTACTCTCAAGCTTGTAGTGAGGAATCCATGTCTCGTCACCAGTATTGATTTTTTTAAAGAAATTTCTTTCTAGTATCAGTCCAAGTTTTGTTTGCAGATGTCCAAACACTTCTGTTTATGCTCTTCTGAGTTGTTTTGGTACCCATTTCATGCAAACTTTTCAAACCCCAAGTATGTTGTGGATTATTGCATAGGCAGAGCCATGGCTGATTTGCCTCATAATCTATTATCACTTGTCTGTTTGACAGAATCTTTTCACGTGCACACTCAATGTTGTCATCAGCTGTGGACATGGACAGGCATTTTAATATAGCCAGAGTGCAGAGAATTTTTAATTCACTCTCATAAAAAGGTGCTGTTTCTTAAGAATCAACAGTGACATCATAAGTGACATTGTTCAGAATATATTTCCAGTTACGCAAAACTTTTGTTTTTCTTATCAGCCAACCATGACCTCTTCTCTTTTTGCTATTTTTGTTTTTTCTTCCAGATACAACACAGATTTATAACAAATTGAAAATGTGTCACCATCACATGAATGTTTATCTCAAAGAAGATATTCCTGCCAGATTTCACTACCAACATAATGATCGCATTCAGCCTATTATTTTGGTTGCTGACGAAGGCTGGACAATTGTGCTAAATAAAACATTAACAAAATGTAAGTATTATTTAGGGTATCTCCCTTGTATGTACCTCACAACTGTGACATTGTTCACCATGGTATGTCCTCATGTGGCACCGTGGGATAAAGCACTGGACCGCATGGTGGGTTTGAACCACAGGGTTGTTGGTGTTTCAGACTCCCCAGCTGCCCCTTGGTAACCCTATATATAGAGTTGCTGGGAGTCAGAATTGACTAAATGGTACTTAACAACAACACTGTGATAGAATCTGCTCAGCTAGGTAATGTTTAAGTATTCATTCAACAAGGCACTGTAGGACAAGCACTGGACTGCAAGGTCAGTTTGAGCCGTAAGGTTGGCAGTTCAATCTCACCAGCCGCTCCTTGGAAACCCTATACAGGGTTGGAACCAACTCAACAGCACTTAGCAGGACTCCTGGTGTGGCACTGTAGGATCAGCACTGCACTGTGAACCACCAGGTTGGCAGTTTAAACTCACCAGCTGCTCCTCGGAATACCTGGGTCGCCATGTGTCGCAGTTGATTAGGAAGGCGCTTAACAACAGACATGATTGAATCAGCTCAGTTTTCAGCTAGATCATTTTCAAGAATTCACTTGAAGCAGTTTACAATAGCAGCAGTTTCCCCTCAGACTGGAAAGTTAGTTGACCAGTTAGGATAAGAATACAGTTTTACTTTTTTACTAAAAAATCAGGTTCTCCTGATTTATAGAAAATAAAGAGAGAAGTGAAGAAACAAAGTAGAAAGGGCTTGTTGCTGTTACCTGTCTTCTTCCACCCTTGACTCTTGGTGACCCTTTGTACATCAGATCACTGTCACTACAGTGCCATGCATGGCAAGAATTCTGACACTGAGCCTCAGTGACTTCAAAAGGGAATTAACTATTTCAAATTCCTATTTTATTTTCTTGTTTTAAAAAAAAAATTTGCCCAACAAGCCGTAAGTCCCTTCTTAGTGGTGAAATAATTAGCACAAATGCCACAAGTATTTATATCACTGGCATTACCAGAAATTAAACAAACAAAAAAATCAACGAAGTAAATAAAGTACATGTACCGAAAGCTCTTCTAAAACTGTGGAAAATTACAGAGGAGTGTTATGGGTTTCCCCCCATTTGGTACTTGTTTATCCTTATTTTACATTCAGTTTGAATTCTTTCTTAATCCTGGTTTTGTGATCAGAAAACTTGTTTTATAAAGGACTAGACAGTAAGTATTTTAGGCTGTAGGACTAGCTGGTTTCTGTCACAGCTCCTCAGTTCTGCCTTTAGAGTTCAAAGGCAGCGGTGGACTACATGTTAGTAAATTGGCCTGGCTGCGTCCCAGTGTATAAACTCTGTGTATAAAAACAAGGCCAGCTGAAGTTAGACCTCTGGTGATTGTTTGAAAATCACTGATTTGTGGCACATCAAAAGCATCAGGCAGAGAGACCAAATAGTCGAAGGAATTTATATACTACTTACATACTTACACACTTATTTGTTATTTTATATACTCATTGATGCAAACATGAAAAATACAGAAAAACCGGGAAAAGAGAACAAAAACTATTATTTCCATAATACAGTAACACAAACATGTTTATTGTGAATTGTGCTGTAGGATAAGCACTATGGACTGCTAACCACAGTTCAAACCCACCAGCCGTTACTCAGAAAGCCTATTACAAGGTCACTCTGAGTAAGAGCCAACTTCACAGCACTTAGCAACAACAACATGTCTGTTTTATTAAAAAGAAAGGAAGGAAGATAGAAAGAATAGAAAAGGACAAAATGGGTGTCAGACAAGACTCTGAAAC